GGTGAAGTGGGACAGAGGGGCAGGAGCCTGGGAGCTTGTTCTAAATTTGCTTAGTACGTTAGTACCTTAGTACTCGGTATGGACAACTCATCGCGGCTTTGGAAGGTTTATTACTCAGCTGTAAGACCTATTTGTTTTATCTTCTTTTTCAACCGATTTTTTCCTAAATTTATAATTCCTTTGCATAGATGTAGATAAACAAATAAAAGAAAGATCGAATTTTTAGGTTTATAATGGGCTAGAACAGCAGAACTTAAACAAGTCGGATCAAATCGGCTTAATTTTAATAGTACGTTAATCATCCGTACTAAGCGAAAAACAAGAAAAAAAGAATCCTATTTTGGGCATGGTCTATTTTGAATCACTCTTGTCACAAAATTACTCTACAATTATTCTGACAATAGAATGTGTTGGTGCCAGTGTCTATCATACTGATACTGGGAGTTATAAGATATTTGATTATCATGCAAGAAACAAAATGTTAGAAGCCATCACTCAAGTACATGTGTACTATTAAAAGTACCATCTATTCAGGGCTTAGTACAGTATTTCCAGACAATACACTCCCTCAGTGACAATTATGAACTCAGAGGAGTGCAGATTAGTACATATGAAATAACTGCAGTGAACAGTTTGAGAGAACAACACAACTGCTCTTGTAAACAATGCTTTGCAGAAGGGCTTTATACATATGTTAGTCAGTAGCAAAGTCTTGTAGTTATTGGAATTCCAGAACCCTATCTTGCATAGCTGACCAAGGAAATAAATTCTATCGTAACATGGGCATCAACAGACATCTAACAAGGGCAGATTTATACACGAGATATCAGTCCAACTGAAAGCTTAAAGCCTGTAGCCCGACTTATGATCTTAGACCGTCTTGTTTAACACGAAATGTCCTCCCATCCATATGAATTTTTTTTTTGCCAAAAAGGACCTTTTTGAAAAAGTGAACTTGGAACCCTGTTAAGGAATATTTTTCTGAAGAGAATGTGGCTTACCAACTTCTGATCCAACTATCTCTGCTGTTGTACATTTGCACACAGTTAGTTCTATATAATCACTTAGATCCCTCTTTTCAAACCCTTTACCCCTTACTAAAGCTTCCTGGTCCAAAGATACCCACATCATGAGACTTGAAATACCCTGTTCAAGACTCATAACCTTGAACACCCTATCCTGTGTCATAAAACTGAAGTTAATGTAACCCATAATAAAATAGATAAATCAATAGGAGCCAAATTTGATTAGGTAACTCAGAGTACATAGAGCTGTACATAGTAGATTGTTGTAAGTTTTAAATACTGACAGGGCTTAACACTAACATGAACAGTAGGCAACTGGCCACAGATTAGTTTCAATTCTGTTTTGGTGAGTGGTTTTCAATTTCCACCAGCCAATTTGGCTAGTAAACAACCTGAAATTGTTGTAACATCAAAGTTGAAAGTTAGTGTCAAGCCCTAACTGGAATCATGGTCAATGCTATTATTACTGATCACCTGCAGTGCCAAAAGACAAGGGTGACATCATTATCTGTCTCAGTTCATCAAACTTCACCTCTTTTATGAGTAGTCTAACTTCTGCAATGCTGGCTGGATGCTGCAATACAAAAACAATTTAGCTTTAGGTTTGCAACCCTAGTCATACATGAAACTGCTGAAACACTTCCCACTTTCCTTCTTTAAGTCAGAAAAATACAATTGCGTACAGGTGAAGTCAGTATGGTATCTATTATTTGTGACAACTAAAATGAGAATTTTGGACCTTCAAATTGTAAAAAGATCCCTAACAAAGTGCAAAAAAAAAAAACAGTAAAAGATGTAAAAGTGCAGTAGTATAATTAAGTATGTATTTCCAGTGAACTTGGCCTGAACATATTTGATGGATAAATTTGATGGATTTCTTTATTTAATTAATGAAAAGTACCAAGAGGATATTTTCCAATTTGAGCCATTAAAACACTGGAAATCTAAGGAAGGCAGTTCTCAAAGACCCAAGAATCAGACACTTGCTTAAAAGCTGGGTCTGGATAAAGTTTACCAATGACACAAGAAATTAGTGAGCCAAAGGTCAGCCTATTACTTCATTTAAGTCACTTATCACTGTACAATTTTGCCCTATATACAGCTAATGGTTTGAACCAACGGGTAACATGTGATAGTGTAGTCTGATTGTCTGGTTGAGTCCTTAGAAGGACTGTTGTCAGTAGAGGTGACTTGAATTTCAACAACCTGAACGGAAGTCTTCATAGATTGTACTGAGTCTAGTTTGTGTTAACTGATTGCTCAGTTTAGCCATGATGTTAGCCATACATTTGACTGACAAAAACTATTCACTTGACCCTGATTATGACTTCCACTCAGGCTGTTGAAAAGTCAGTCACCAACGCCAACACCAGTTCTTCTTAAGACTAAACTCACCCAGACATCACATCACACTATCACATACCCCTATATGTTGGTTCTAAACTGTCTTAGCAAATGAAGAGTACTGTTTAAAACAGAAAACAAAAATACAGTAACTGTAAGGAATAGGAAACAGAAGGAACCTCATATTATTATATACTCCAGAATCTATGCCATACTGCTTTGCTCAACATGTCTACAGATTTCAACAGAAAAGACCATCTCTGACTGATAGATTTCAAAACCAAAAGAGTGGGAAATGGGTAAACAACAGTGTATATTCTGGATGATGCTGGAGCTTTCAAAGTCTCTGTTTCATGAAAAAAGCCAGGATTACAGGATAGAATTACATGAGACATCACTTTTCAGTCAGGATGGTTTTTGCTATGGAGTCTGTATTTGATTACCATTAGTAGTGTTTTTTAAAACAAGTTGCAGCATGCTCTACATGAAGCCTCACATCACCTTTTCTCTAAAATTATATTATACCACTAGGGAACTAATATACCACCTGTGTTCAAGTCTAAATTGTTTCAGGTGGTACAATAAATGACTCATGGGTAAAATTTTTACATATCAAATCGCTGGATGGCTTAGAACAGGCTGTAAGTTTTTCACGTACATATTTGGTAATAATGTAGCTCTAAACAATTTGTAACAATTTGGTAATAATGTAGCTCTAAAAGGATTAATTTTTTACACATGATGCATGTGATCTGTTTGTATGGTGCCACTCCCCTAAATTGTAACACCTCCAAGTGTGAAGCCTAAAGGAGTGACTGTATGTAATTGTCAGAATTATACAGCACATATTTTCTAGCCTGTGTTGCAGCCGAACGTGTCACACAATCCCCGGTATAGTCCGTCTGCGAAACGGCTCCCAAAAGCTTGTTCTGATATCCCGCAGGGATCCACGGATCTGTGTATTTATTTCCGATTGGTTATTTTCTTACGCGCCTTATGATTGGTCATATTATTGTGAAATTTATCACGCAATGTTAAAAATAAATATTGTCGCGTGTAAATTGTATATTGGAAGTACTTTTGTACAAAGCTTTGCTTTGCATTTCAAAACGTTGAAAAGGTTATGTCTGATTCGTCCGATTATTGTAATTTATGCTGTCGCATCATTGAAAAGGGAAATGAAAGAGCGTTACTTTCAAAGGGATGGAAACAATTCTACGTACTCACTGAGATTGAAAGTTTGGAAATATCTTTGCTATCGATCGAAAACAAGTACATCTGCCGAAACTGTGTTGTGAAACTGAAAAAACGTTGGTCACTTATCGAGCAAACAGAAAAATTGGAAGCAGATCGCAAAAGCCTTAGTACAAGGGAATATTCAATTAAAGTCAAACGATCTGGGGAACTGCTAAGTGATGACCACGAAGCTTCAACATCGAAAAAAGTCTGCGATGGATCTGACGGGGTTTTGCCCATATCATTACTTAATCTCCTGTTCGTCCTCTGCAAATAACATCTACGAGAGAGCAAGCACTCTGGAGAGCCATAAACAAGAACATAATTGCCGTTCATAACCTGCTGAATTATTTCAACATCCTTATCGTCAGTAATGGCGATCACTGGCACTCCCATGTTGTTTAGATGTTGAATCTGGTCTTCCATAAGCGATCACAACGGCGATATTACAACAAGAAAACTGGAACCACGAGGCTTTCCAAACAGAGCATCCGCAACGATCGGAAGGCACTGGAAAATCTAAGATTTACCGTAGCCCGTCGGCAAATTTACAAAAATATTTCAACCTCCAAGAAATTCACAAAGTGCGTTTTCCTGTTCAGGTAGAAGATTATCGATTTCAAACTGCTCTCTCATGGCTTTGAACGCTTTGCCAACGTTCTTCTGTAGTTGCAGACATCTTATTTCCAGCTCGAAGTAAATTTGATGTTTAATGTAATGTACAACTGTTATAAAGTAGTTGGGAAACCTACACAAATTTATTCTTGGCATTATGTGATAATTGCGTGATCACTTTCGCAAGAGTTATCCAATCAGATGGCACGTAAGAAACTAGCCAATCAAAAATGGATACACAAACAGCGGGATATCGGAACAAGCTTTTGGGAGCCATTGCAGACTGTCTATACTGGCGGTTTAGACTGTCTGCGACGCAGGCTAATATTTTCAGGATCACTAAATCCTCACATTCTAGACATTCATTGAGAAATTTCATGTACATTGTCTCATGTGCATGTGATGGTGCAGTACATCTGTACTCCATGTACACATATATGAGGTAATTTGACACAATGCAGACCTCAAGGAAACAAACAGACCAAGGTGATAATAATAGATCAAAATGTAAAGTCTGTTCAAGGAACAGGTAACTGTATATGCACCATGAAGTAAGGTGTACACGCAAATCTTCCCAAAATTTCAACCAGGTAGAGAAAGCACGACATTGAGCGGGGAAAGGGGTGTTTCAACGAAACTTGACGAAAGGTGGCAGTTTCCGAAAATGGGGGCTTTACAGGAAAGGATACTAAAGGCATGTCGCTATAGAATGCTGGAAGAAAGGAGAGAGCCACTGATATGCATTACAAGTCACTTACCTTGTCTAAAAGTAACCATTCTTTGACTTTCTCATCAAGTTTATCATCACCTGAATTCACCGGGCACGCACCGTTGTCATTACTGTCGATCTCCTTACGGAGCTCTGCTGATGACTCCGCCATTTTACAAATTGAGCCGTACATGTATTGAAAGCGATATGCGCTCAAAGCGAGGTAACACGTCATGTAAGTTACATGCTATGTATTGTGTACTGGCTCCCTTACAGTGGCTCCCTTACAGTCTCTCCCTTACTGTCTCTCCCTTACTAAAAAAATACACAGCCGTTTTTTTTTTTTACTCATTTGCTGACAGTCTCGAGGTTTCTGTGGCTAAACACTCGTAAAACATGCTCTCTATGGGAATTTATTATGTAGAGAGGTAGTCTTGGGGAAAGTCTGAGAATTGTGATAGGTTCATATTTGGTTTCCACGGAAACGGTCATACGCCGTGAATTTCTTGTTTGCGAAATTTGGTAAATTCAAAATAAACAAGTTTATCATGGCTGATATAATCTCGTTTGCTCGAGCCGCACGAGGCAATATTGGTCCTTGCTCGTTTTCGTATGGACCTCGCTGTGCTTTGTTAAAAGACAAAATTGGTATCATATATTCGGCAAAAATATAAAAGCTGGTTGATCATCTCCTATTTCCTCACGACCCTACTTTGCAACTAGAGTAATTGTTATCTTTTCTTAATATTCATTTCAAGCCGCTTTTAATTTGTATTGAAAAAAAATTCTCCTATCGTGAATTCGATAGAGTTAATATGCTTTGTAGTGAAGTAAAAAATTGCTTTCTTCACAGAAATTTCCCTTACAAAGATACCCCTCTTATATTTTCGATTCCTCTTAGTCTCGTTTTGAATTAGTCCTATGTCGAATTCACGATCGGAAAAGAACTCTTAATTAATAATTTTAGCTCGTTTAATACCTCTTTCTTTTAAGGTGACTGTATGATTAAAAAACTTTCATTCTCTGCACTGAATTCCACATAGCTCTGTAATGGGCGGAAACGTGGAACGCCCTTTCTTCTCCAATCTCTCTGTTTACTTAATTGGGTTTACGGTTAAATCCTAGGTCAAGCTCCTTCTAGTTTCAGAATATATGTGTATTTTATGCTTGGCTAATTTTGGGCCGCTAAAAAACAGTCGATTGTCTGTTTTTGGTTGCCAATGGCAACCACAGACTATGTAATCGTTTTGGCTATTTTTATTTTCCTAAAATTATACCAAACATTATTCTACATGTTCCTAAGACCCTGGAGTCCTTCGCATCAGTGTAAACTCAAGAAACTATCTACACTCACACCTTCCTTTCCTTACATCATTCAAAACAAAAGAATTAATTGTGAAACGTGAAACTTAGCGAGGGGATGTTGCTTTAAAAAGTGTAAGCTTTATTTGTACCCTTTCAAATGATAAAAGGGAAGTTTAAACAAAAAAAAATTATAATTCCGTCAATTTCAGCAGTGCAGCCATGCTGTTAGAACACCGTCATGCTGCTGAAATGAGGAAAAGCATTTTTACGATTTATACAGTTTTAAAAGAGGATGCTGACGAGTCTGTGCCACTCCTCCGCGAAAGCCAAAAAGGAAAAGAAATTCTTGGCTGAGGCTTTATAGCTCATCTTCCGACTTCCTATCACTAAGTTTCCCGGCCCCTCTTTAGAGCCAGTTTTAGACTTCAACTTAGAAATCTCTCCTCCAGTTAATGCATGCTGTCTATTCCGTATATCTTTTTTCTATCCTCGTGTTCTCTAAGCTAGCTCAACAATGGGGTGATTTAGGACTTTTCCTCTGATGTTATGGGCAAAGCCAACTATCCTTAACTAATAAACAAGCGATATATAATAGTGCTCTCAGTGGTGCAAGTCTATCCCTCAATGGAGGACTCTATTACAAAGCATGTTATGAAATATTGCACCAACTGAAGCACACGTTACATTGGCAAAAATCAAATCGTCATCGTTCTGTTGCGTGAGATTATTCACTCATTTGCACAGATACGTCGCATGACAAGGGGTATTCAAGGTTGTACGCAGATATTCTGGTTCATTGGGATGAACTAGTAAAGAAAAGTGGGTTGGGCCAAAGGGCGCGCTAAGGCTGAATTCGAGAATAGCTTCAGCGGAGTCAGTGCTTCAGACAGTGATATGAAGGGTCTGTATTTTTTTTCTTGCAGCTAAGTGCACAAGAGTCTGATAGAATCTGCTGGAGATTTAAGAAAGAGATGATATATTCATCGAATGACAGAGGCAAACATATAGAAAAAAAAAAGAGAAATCCGAGTTCTCCTAAAGGCGAGGTCGTTTTTATCTCCGACATTATAAAGCATTTATGAAATTCTCAGCTTCCCAAGATTTACCCATCCTTTATAAATTGTCTTCAAATATGATAAACATTCAACTACCAAGTTTCCATTCTAATTTTTGTTTAGCAACCTCGGCGCTTATCTCTGACGTAACTTACCTTCTTTCCTCTTTTTTCTTTCTCCTGATATCCTATTTGAACAATGCACTCTTGACTTACGTGACGACAAGAAACATTGTTTAAGGCTCTATTGACTGCTAAGCGTCAAGGGCGCTCCTCTAGTGTCGCAGTTATAACTGCCAACAATACCTTAGCTTCTCTTTAACAAAAGCATTTTTAACTTTCTTCAGTACTGGGCAAGGATTTTGTGCTAAAGTTTACGTTTTTACTGGAATATGTCATGGTATGGGGCAAAGCCTTGCCAAAAGTGATAAGTAGCGACGTAACTGTATTGGGAAAATATCGTTTGAACACTTGAAATAAATCATGGAGGGAAAAAAGGATATTTCACATGGCATACCGAGCACAAACTAAATATGACTCACTGATCTTTTTAACCTTCACCGAATGAGTAACAGCGCACTCTTACGGTTGACTGGTGTGTTATTCCACGTGGGGACCTTGCTGATTTGATCGTTTCGGAATTGAGTGAAAATTATCATCATTCCCTTTGACCCCTTTCCCCCTTGGTGGCCGATGTCCAGAAGAGGGATTCACCAATATACCTTCCAACCGTTTGATATCTCTGCCAAGCTGAGTAGCTTGATTAGCATCAAACAATAAGATATTACTCCTATCCTACTGAGACAAATCGGCTTGGATGACATCAGCCTGATTCATCCTTGGTGCCACGTCTCGACACGTCGCTCGGGGAGAATGCACGGAAAATGAACTTGCTTTATTTGTCCTATCAAATGAACCATAAATTCTAGCGGAGAGCGTGACAAAGTTCTTGCACCTCTTGACTTTCCGTTTAACTAATAATACTCGTCACTTTCACTGATCTTCCCTAAGAAATCGGCAGTTTGAAACAATTTTAAGTGCCCCTCCCGCTAAGAGCGGTCCTCTCGACTTCCCGTCTATAAAGATTTTTCTTTTTCTTTGAAAAAAGGTCCCCAAACGAAAAGGACAGCAAGTCAAAATAAACCTTGTGCATAAATAAAAGAACACATTTCATGTAAAAATAGGATATTGGAGGCCAGCTAGAATTCAAGAGACATTCAAATTCAGAAAAAGATGAATGAAGGTTGTAAATAATTCTCGTTGTTCTAGAATGGACTGTATCTAAGTGGGAAAGTAGGGTCGTGGAACAGTTTCCCCAAGACAGGATGCCATATGTAACACTTGGAATAATTGTTTTGAAATAAATCTCTGCTAATGTCTTTACAGGAAGATACTTCATTCTTTTCAGAGCACCGACCTTAATCATAAAATTCTTTTTAACATAGTAAATATGATTAGACCACGAGAGTTTATTATCCAGATTAATGCCCGGGCAAGTTGACAATTCAACTATTTGAATAAAGTCAGAGCCAAATTAAAGTGGAGGTAGCGGGCCGATAAAAGGAGACTTCCTGATCAACATAGCTTCAGTTTTGACTATATGTATAGTGAGTTAATTTCTCCTACTCCACATCAGCACATTATTCACCATTTTGTTGAGAGCAGTAAAGACCTCTCCGACACTTCGGCCAATATATGATAAGGTGGTGTCATCAGCATATAAATTAATCTCTCCGGTACCATTAACACAATCAGGAAGAATCAAAAATAATGTACAACCTCGGCCCCAAAGGAAAACCCTGGGTTACACCAAAACGAACACAGCCTGAAGAGCCATTCCCCACGCTAAATTGAGATCGATTAGTAAGGTAGCACATAATCCACTCATGGATGCAGCCAGGTACCCCAATAGCTTGAAGCTTGCGTGATAAAATTTCATGCGAAATAGTGTCAAAGGCCTTCTGGAAGTCTATAAACACAGCTCCAATAGAGAGAACATTATCTAACGCCAGTTTCCAACTCTCAGTCGTGGATATGAGCATGATTTCGGTGGATAGGCCTTTGCAAAAACCCCATTGCTTATGGCTTTTAGTGCCGCACTCAGCAAGATGTTCATCAATAAAGTGACAGACATGGTTCAGTTTCAAGAAGTTTACTAGGAATTGATAATAGCGATATAGGCCTGTAGTTTGAAACATCTGTTTAACTTAAGACATCTTAAAACATCTGCTAACATATATACCTTCTTCGGTAACGTGTCTTCCCACAACCGCTCAGCGCCATGCCCATCGTTCGACAAGGTCAAAACTGAGAACATGTCTAGATCATGAAGTCTATAAACACAGTTTAATGATGAAGAGTGTCCCGATAGCCGTGGACAGTCTATTATTGTAAAGGTCCTCATCAAAAATGTTTGCCAATATATTAATGATTCCCTCGGGATCAACGACGTTTTTCTCTTTGCTCTAGGCTTAAAACTGCAAAACTACGCGGAAGACTGGCGTTCAAATCGAATCAGATGGAATCCTAAATGGTACTAATGCAAGAATGGAATGAACGTGAAGCCTAAAGTTCCCCAGATACCAACGTAGCAATCCAATGGTATCCGGTTAGATCGCACCATGGTTAGATTGCTCCCAGTTAGATAGCTCCAGTCAAAAGTTAGATCGCTCCACCCGAAAGTTAGATCGCCTCATTAAATAAGTTACATCGCTCCCAGCATAAGATACTTCACTCCATGTTGTAATGTGAAGTATTACTTACCACTGATCTTTAAAGATTATAGGTAATGATGTGTCTTACGATTCGAGTAC